CTGTGATAAATAAATGTGTTTTTAAAATATATATATAAACTACCTCATCCGTGGTGCTTTATCAGCATAAATAGACTAAGATGCTTTTTTTTTTTTTTTTTTTTTTGGATGATGTCTTGCTCTGTCATCCAGGCTGGAATGCAATGGTGTGATCTTGGCTCACTGTAACCTCTGCCTCCCGGGTTCAAGCGATTCTCCTGCCTCAGCCTTCCGAGTAGCTGGGACTACAGGCATCTGCCACCACGCCTGGCTAATTTTTGTATTTTTAGTAGAGATGGATTTTCGTCCTGTTGGCCAGGCTGGTCTCGATCTCTTGACCTTGTGATCCGCCCGCCTCAGCCTTCCAAAGTGCTGGGATTACAGGCGTGAGCCACCGCACCCAGCCTTGTTTGTTTTTTCAAACCTTTCAAAACGTGACTCATGTTTTGTGGCACAGGTTAGGTCTCCAGGAAATAGACGTTGAGACACAGATTATGTGCAGGAATATTGTGGGGGTTACCCTTGGGGTCAAAACCTGTCAGAGAGTGAAGGAAGCAGGGCTGGAGGGAGGGAGGAGCGAGCTGAGATGACCAAACCTCCTCTAATCCTGCAGGACCTCTGCAGCCTCATGGTTGAGCCCAGTTGGTCACAGGTGCCTGAGTATAGATCTGTACCAACCAGTCGCTGATGTGGGCAGCTCCTCAGAGGGACACTTGACCCTGAGCAGAGCGGGAGGTGAGTGCTTGTGTAGGGGTGGGTTTGATGGTGCACCCAGCATCCACTACATTACTCACCACTCCTCCGGGATCCCGTGAGGCCTCTTTTTCTGGGGAAAATTTGAAGGAAAGACGTTGCTTGGGTGAACTACAACGCCCCCTGCTGCCTCGGGGCTGCAATGGATTCATCACCCTCAGCTCCACCACACATTCTCCCTCCACTCCAAGAGGCCTAGCGATGTGGTGACCTGGACCCTCATTCCGGGACACCACGCCTCTGTCAAACTTGGCAGCTGCCCGCTGACCATGAAAACCAGGCAGAGAAGAAACAGGGAGGCTTGAGTGGAGGCACATGCCGGCGTATCTCCTCCAACGTGAGGTGTCCGCTCAGACCACTGTGCCACGGCCAGGGGCACCCTCTCCAGCCTCTCCTCTTGAGGTCTCTGCTCAAGATTCACTGCTCTTTATTTTCTGAGTTTTACTTCATTTTATGCTCATGGAATAATTGCAAGAATGACTATAGTTGAAACCCTCTGTACTGGCCGGGCACGGCAGCTCACATCTGTAATCCCAGCACTTTGGGAGGCTGAGGCGGGCGGATCACTTGAGGTCAGGAGTTTGAGACCAGCTTGGCCGACATGGTAAAACCCAGTCTCCACTGAAAATACACATGTAAGCTGGGCGTGGTGGCGTGCATCTGTAATCGCAGCTACTCAGGAGGCTGAGGCAGGATAATGGCTTGAACCCGGGAGGCGGAGGTGGCAGTGAACTGAGCTCGCACCACTGCACTCCAGCCTGGGCAACAGAGCGAGAGCCTGTCTCGCAAAAAAACAGAAACAGAAACAAAAACAAAAACCCTCCACACCCATTTCCACACTCCGCTGCCTTGTTTACCTCATCATTTTTCTGTGCATTTTGTAGAAATAAAATGAAATGGTTTTCTTTTTTTTCTTTTTGAGATGGAGTCTTGCTCTGTCGCCCAGGCTGGGGTGCAGTGGCATGATCTCAGCTCACTGCAACCTCTGCCTCCTGGGTTCAAGCGATTCTCCTGCCTCAGCCTCCTGAGTAGCTAGGATTATAGGCACCTGCTACCACGCCCGGCTGTGGCATTAACATTTTTGAAGAATACAGTCCCTCTCGTTTAACAGAGTGTTCCTTATTTGGGTTTGTCTGAAATTTCTTCGTATGTAGATACGGGTTGTGCATTCCTGGCCGGATTCAGTGATGCCGTGTCCTGCTCTGGAAACCACACCCAGGTGCACATGGTGTGCACCTGCCCTTCACCAGGGATGCTGAGTTTTATCACCCGCCCAACAAGTGGCCTCATTTCTCCACTGCGACTAACAGTCTACGGACACAGACTTCCGAGACCTGTAAGGATATCCCTGTCACTGTTTTTTCTTTTTGGACAGGTCGCCACCTCTGTTGCCCAGGCTGGGATGCAGTGGGCACAAGTCACTCGCTTCACTGCGGAGGCCTCGCCCTCCTGGGCTCAAGAGATGCCCCCACCTCGCCGCGGCAGCGAGGGTAGCTGGGGACTGAGAGCGAGCCGCGGCTCTTACAGTCGCCGGGCGCCGGCCTGAGATCTTTTAGAAGTTTTTTTTGTTTGTTGGCGTGAAACGAGTGGTCTCGATTCTGGAGCCAGGCGCCAGTGCTCACGGCCTGTAATCCCAGCACTTTGGGAGGGCCAGAGGGGGTGATCACCGAGGTCAGGGAGGATCGGAGAGCATCCTGGCTAACATGGTGAAACCCCGACTCTACTAAAGAATACAGAGCAAATAGACTGGGGTGTGGTGCGTGGGCGCCTGTAAGTCCCAGCTACTCGGGAGGCTGAGCAGGAGAAGATGGCGTGAAACGCCGGAGAGCCAGAGCTTGCAGCTGAGCCGAGATTGTGCACTGCACTAGAGCCTGGGTGGACAGAGCGGAGACTCCATGCTCAAAAGTAATAAATAAGGTAGTGAATTAAAATAAATAAAAGTGGTCTCACTCTGTCGTTCCGCAGCTTGGGAGTGCAGTTGATCTTACGTTCACTGCAACCTCTGGCCTCCCGGGTTCAAGTGATTCTCCTGCCTTAGCCTCCACAGAGTAGCTGGGATTATGGGCACTTGCACCACGCACGGATACTTTTTGTATTTTTAGTAGAGACAGGGTTTCACCATGTTGCCCAGGCTGGTCTCAAACTCAAGTGATCCTCCCACCTCTGCCTCCCCAAGTGTTAGGACTACGGGTATGAGTCGCCATACCAGACCACAATACCCTTCTCTTCACCCAAGTCCTCATTTGACATCTATGTGATGATTCTTGCCAAGCCCTCTCCTGGGAGTCTTCTCTGGTTGTGCCGGGCGGACTCAAGCCCTCGTCTTCGGCCCCTCAGCACACACCTCACTCATATCTGTTCATGCTTTTCCCTGCTTCACAGGACTTCTGGCTACCCAGCACCCAGTTGAGGACTGCATAAGATACGTGTTTAGTTCACAGAATGACTGAATTAATAATAATAAATGAAAAATAAAGGAAGGAACCAACTGTTGCACAAATCAGTGAGGACTCTTGAACACGAGGGCCAGAACCCTCAATCTGAATGATGTAAACCAAAAAAGGAGTGAGGGTAGGCCCCTCCAGAGTGGTTCTTCTATCTCTTGGTTGGTGAATTCTCAGAGGACTGAGTAATGCTTGTGTATCAGGCATCAAGGGTAGTGCATGTCAACTTCTCACCATTCACTGGCCGATCACTGGGAAACATGAATGAGACTCATTCCTTTCTTCCTGGTCCCCAAATCCCTTCTTCCTCGTCTCAGTAGGAACCGCCCTCCACTCATTTGGGCAAGCCACACATCTGGAGGCCATCCTTCACTCTGTCCAGCTTTGCTCCATCAGCGAGTCTTGTGGGGTCCGCCTTCCCAAGTCTCTCTGGTCCAGGCCCCGCATCTCCCACCTGGCCCCTGCCTCTTCACACCCCGCTTCCTATCCTCTCTCTGCATCGTGCGCCCCGAAGATTCACAGCACTTATGTGTCTCAAATTTAAAGTGTGGCAACTCCTTGCCTTCCCATCCTCCCCTCTAAACGCCCTGAAGACAGGCGTTAGGGCTGTCTCCATCAAATCCCCCCCACCCCCCGGCCTAGCACAGGATCAGAACGTGCACGTGTTCCAGAAATGTTCAGTCTGCGAAACAAGGACGGGCTGCAGAGCCAAATGGCCCTGGGGTCAAGCCCACCTCCCTGCCTCCCGCCTTGGGCTCTCCGGCGGGTGCACGTTCCCAAGCTCCCCAACTGGTTCCTCCGCGCGCTAGTTTGCTCATCACGGGTGCAAAAGTGCAGAAAGTTCCAGAACCACGCCGGCCGGACACCAATTCTGGCTCTATCACTGACACTCTGGGTGGCCAGTCGCCCTGGGCCTCAGTTTCCTAGTCTGCAAGGCGGGGTATTAACTGTGAGCACCCAAGGGATTGGAGAGGTCACACGGGCCCACGTGGTCTCCACGCAGGTGTGATTATCAGGAATTCGTATTTTTATGGAATGCATCGTCCTCCGCCAAGGCCAAGGCCAGGGTCCAGCAGAGACGGCCGAGAAGACATCGCAAGCTCGCCACAAGCCGCCGGCTACGCTCGGCTGCGCGCCCGCGCCCGCGCACCTACTACGCGCCCGGCCCGCTCTCCGCCCCCTCCAGGCTCCGCCCCGACCCCGCCCTCCAGGCTTCACAGCCAATGAGTGCGCGGCCCCGCATCCGGGGATCCCGGCGCGGCCGCCGCCTCCCGCGCACACACGGCCATGGCGGAGGTGAGTGAGCGGGCCGGGGGAGCCGGCCCCCCGCCCCCGCGCGTCCGCGCCCCCCGCAGCCGTGGCTCTGCCTCGCAGTGGGCCCCGGGGACAGAGAGCCCCGCTCTGGAGCTCTGAGGCCGGCCGGGGCGCCTGGCCCTTCCGGGGCCGGAGGGGCGCGGGGCTCCGTCGGCGGCCGCCCCCGGCCCGGCCCCCCCCACTCCCCCGGCTGCCACATCGCGGGCTGCAGTGCGCATGCGCGGCGGCGCGGGGCGGGCGGGGGCCGGAGTGGGGGAGGGGAGGGACGCGGGGCGGGGCCGGGGTCTGGGGTCCGGTGGGCGCGCGGCCCCGCTCCAGGGTCCGACTCCCGTTCCCGGCCCCGGCCCCGGCCCCGGCCCCTGCCCCGCGGCGCGCAGGCCTCCCCTCCCGCGCGTTTGCCAACTTTGCCAAGTGCTGGGGCCGCCGGGCGCCCCGCGCTCCCCCGTCGGGATCCCGGTGGATCCACCGCGCCTCCGCCGCCCGCGAGCCCCCCGGCGGGGCTGGGTCAGACCCCGGGGGGGGGATTTGAACCCCCGACGCGGACCCGCCTGGCACAAACTGGGCGCAGGGTGCGTGGGTCCGCCGGGGCCTAGAGAGCGTCGGGGCTGATCTCAGTAGAGTTGGACCAGCCTCTCCCGGGCACGAAGTTACTTCTGGAGCCTCCTCCCTCGTCCTGGAAACAAGCCGGGGGCCAGCTATATTTTGGAATCCAGAATTTTTGCGATTTGAGGATCTGTGGGATTTTGGACTGTGATGTTTGATCACACCCACCTAGGACTGTCTAGGATAAGACAACAGATAGCTTCGTGTCAGGTCAAACCAGGAAGGAAGAAACTTTCGCTTTTGGAGCTTTTTTTGATGTTGGAGTGGTGGATGAGCCTGTGTGGACTTAACTTTCACCTTAGAGGGTCCCGGTGAAGACGGAAAGAGAGAACGTAGGCGAAGGCGCCGCGGCTGCGAGGTGTCAGTCGGTGGGACTCAGTGCATGACTTCTGTGTGCAGAAGTTAAGACAGACAGGCAGACTCAAGAGCGGATCCTGTCTGGGCCGCAGGGGCCCGTAGGAAGAGGTGCCCACCCAGGCGGGCACAGCCGCCTCATGGGAAGCCGGGATTGGAACTGCGGCCTGGCCCTGGTGCCACGTTGCGTGTTTATGTCTTGGCACCATACGAGTGGGTGTTGTGGAAGGCAGGCCTGGCCATTCTCTCCCCCTGGTGACGACCTCAGGGGCAGTAACAGGCCCTGTGTTTGTGCCAGAGACGGTGTAGGTGTCTCGATGCTAGGCCAGATCTCACCAGGCAGTTCCTTCATCAAGAGTGAGTTCTTTTGGAGGAGACGTTTGGAGAGACTGAGTCCCCATGCGGATGGTGGCTGGCCTCCAGGCTCGGAGGCAGAAGCCGCGTCTCCCGGTGGCCCTGCAGCGACGTGGTGGTCCAATGAGTTGTGCTCCTGGCATCTTTGCTGGGAGTGGGGTGGCATTTGGGCAACACACATGGCCTCGCAGGTAGCTCCGTGTCTGGGATGGCACAAGTCAGACTCCCAAGCCAGCCTCCCCCAGACCTGCCGTGTGGCTGTTCCACCCTGGGCTGAGCTCCTTGTGGTCTGGCTGCTGCTGGTAACCCTGTTTTACAGTTTGGGGTGGTGCCCTGTCGAGTGAATTTGATTTTTCTAAGGCGGTCCTGTTCTGTCCTCAGCCTGAGGATCTCGCAGTGAATGGAGCCGACGGGGCCTGTGCTACAGGGATGCAGAGTCTGGTCAGAGAGAGAGGTGGATGGGTTCAGACCAACTAGTGTGAGGATGCTGAGCGTGAGGAGCCGTGGCAGCCACTCTGACCACCGGACTTGTCGTGTGTGTGGTCTTGGGCAGGTTGCCCAGTGACGCCGAACTTCCTTTTCCTCATCTCTGAAATGGGAAGTTAATGGTCGATCTTCAGAGCTGGGAGGTCTGATGAGGTCCTGCCACAATGGCTTGTACATACAAGTTGAACCTTGTGAAGTTGACAATATTCCGCTGTTTTTAACCCATAAAAATGGCAATTTGCAACTTAATAGCACATAATCAGTACTAGTTACTTTATTATGTATCAGTATCCCAGAATAATGATGAGCACCAGAGTGGCAGACGGGAATGCTTCATACTCTACTAGATTAATCTTTAAAAAACCTAAGAGCACCAGCCGGACGCGGTGGCTTACACCTATAATCCCAGCACTTTGGGAGGCCGAGATGGGTGGATCACGAGGTCAGAAGATCGAGACCATCCTGGCTAACACGGTGAAACCCCGTCTCTATACAAAAAACTAGCCGGGTGAAGTGGCGGGTGCCTGTAGTCCCAGCTACTCGGGAGGCTGAGGCAGGAGAATGGCGTAAACCCAGAAGGCGGAGCTTGCAGTGAGCTGAGATCCGTCCACTGCACTCCAGCCTGGGCGACAGCGTGAGACTCCGTCTCAAAAAAAAAAAAAAAAAAAAACCTAAGAGCACGGTCTTTTGCTCTTGCCTAAAACCATCCATGGCTTTTCATGCTCCCTGGGATAAAATGGTCCTCCTTGCTGAGTCCCGCAGCCTTGCGGGGTCGTCCCCGCTGATCCCCCGAGTCTAGGGCCCTGGGCTCCTGTTTGCTGGTGCACTCTACCCCTTTGGGCGCTGCCAACAAATGGTTCAACCTCTACTCAGGCCCCCCAGGCCTTCCCTGACCCACAGTTGCAGAGCCCCTGCGCCCTGTTTTCTCTTCTCGGTGCCATACATGTCCACTCGTTTGTTATCTGTGTCCAAAACTAGCAACGCCATGTGGGTGGAGGCAGGTGGAACTTGTTTCTCGGGTTAACCACCTCGCCACTGCCTTGCTGAGCCCAGAGTGGGCGCCCAGGGAGCGTTGGTCAGACGGAGGAGTGGGGTGCTGGGCGGTCCAGCAAGGGCCTGGCACTTGAGTTGGTGTGGATGGGGAGGAGGGTGCCGTCACACTGGGGAGAGCTTGTGGCATGGGAGGGGTAGGTGCGGCCATCTTGGCGAATGGAACCTGCCGCCCTGTCATGTGGGGTTAAGCTTACAAGGGTGGCCCCTTGTGTTTTCTGGTGCACTCTACACCTTTGGGGGCTGCCCTGGGAGAAGGGCTGGTCTGTGCTCTGCACTCAGGCCTCTGGTGCAGTCTTGATGCTGAGTAGCTGCCTGCTGCTTCTGCTCCTTGAAGACCCTGGTGGATGCCTGGGTCTGTGGCCTGTTGTCCTCTGGACCTTGTTTCTAGAATGCTGTTTGCGCTTCCTTCGCTTTTTTTGTTGCCTGGAATACCCTTGGCCGGCTCCCCCTCTTTTTCCTGCTTCCACTTTGACAAAGCAGAGAACTTTGTCCTTCCTGGGAGGGAACTGAGAGGGAAGCATGTGGAGCGCTCTCAGTGGGTCAAATAGGGTCCCTGGGAACCCACTTTGAGAGTAGACTTGCACCTGGACACCAGGCAGGGGCAGCAGGAGGAAGAAGATCCATGAAGTCCGTATTCCGTGTTAAGTTCCCGGAGCTCGGAGTCACCCGGAAATGAACTTGGGGATCCCAGGCTGCTCAGAGCCTCCCTGTTGGTGGCCCTTTGTCATTCCCAGCCGCTTCCCTCTTTGCCCTCCTCTGCCTTAGCTCTCCTGTTAAATGGCAAGTCACATAAGGGCCAGATCCTCCTCAGACCCTGCAGACCGCCTCTCCGGGGGCTCGGTGTGGATCTCGAGCCTGCGGGGCTGTTGTCAACTCGCTGTCCGGAGTGGGGCCTCGTTTGATGTGGTCGCCTGCCCGCCCCTTGTTAGGCTCCTGGTTGCAGGAGTAGAAAGCCAGCCCCTGACTGAGGCAGTAACTGTTGCCCAGAGAGCCTGTCCTCGACCCCTACCCAGAGGGTGCTAGAGAGGACCGAGGGTGATTGCAGAGGTCACTTAGGATGCTGTCACTGTGGCGTCACACCGCGTGTGGCTGTGCGGAGTGGTTGTGGCTGGTGGCCACCTGCTGTGTGCTGAGAGAGGTGAGGCCATCTCGGTGGGACCCGGACCAACCCCAGGCAGGAGGCGTGAGTTGCCCCTGCAGCTGCCATGTGCTCTGTGCCACTTGCTTCAAGTCCCCGTGGCCCCTTCCCACTGGGGACCCTGCTGGCTCTTCCTTCCCTCTGCCTTCTGTGTGCCCTCTGTCACCACAGAGCTCAGCTTTCTGAAGTTGGACGGGTGGTGTCACTCTCCACTTCTCCTCGGTCCTTGCCGGCCTTGTTGCCGGAGTCACTCCAGGCCCAGTGACCGCCCCAGCTCCCTTCCGTGGCTTTGCTGGACAGTTGACCCTTGAACCTTACGGGCTTGAACTGCACGGGTCACTGATACGTGGATTTCCTTCCACCTGTGCCACCCGAGACAGCAGGACCAACCCCTCCTCTTCCTCCTCAGCCTGCTCAGCGTGAAGATGAGGAGGACGAAGACGTTCGGGATGGTCCACTCCCACTTGGTGAATAGGGAGTATACTTTCTCTTCCTGACAATTTTGTTCATAACTTTTTCTGTAGTTTCCTTTTTTGGTGAGAATACAGTACATAATACCACATACGAAATACGTGTTTATCAACTATTGATGTTATCACTAATGCTCCCGACCAACAGGAGGCTATTAGTAAAGTTTTGGGGGGTCAGAAGTTATGCGGGGGTTTTCACTTGTGTGGAGGGTTGGCACCGTAACCCCCGCATTGTTCAGGGGTCAATTGTGCTCCCCTTTGTGCTCCCCAGTGTGACGGGCGGGGAAGGGTTTGCAGGCCGCCGGCCTGAGCTCCACTTGGTAACTGTGCCACGTAACTTGCTGTGTGAGCTTGGGTAACTGACTCTATCTCTCTGAGCTTGGTTCCTTGTTTTTCTTATGAAGGGAATGATTATACCACCTCTGAGGACCCGTGAAGAAACGTTGATATTCTTACTACACAAGTTTTTAAACTTCATTAAATATTTTAATCTACTCTTTTTGGCAACAGCTGTACTGAGGTTTAATTCGTTTACCGTACAGTTCACCATTTTAATGTGTCCAGTTCCGTGGTTGTTCGTGTATTCGCCAAGTGGTGCAGCCACCATCACAGTCAATTTTAGAACATTTTCATCACCGCAAAAGGAACCCCACACCCCTTAGTGGTCACTCCCCAAACCCCACATCGACCCCCAGCCCCTTTCCACCAGGAATCCGTTTTCTGTCTCCACGGATTTGCCTGCTCTAGACATTTGGGATAAAATGAGTCATACGATGTGTGGCCTTTCGTGTCTGGCTGTTTTCAGGAGCAGGAGTCTTTTGAGATACATCCGCGTGGTAGTCGGTCGGTGCGTCCTTCCTCTGCCCGATTGCTAGACCTTTGTTTTGTTTTTGTCAGCTGATGGATATTAGGACCCTGACCTGGGCCACGTGGTTAAATACTGTTTAACTTTTGGAGGAGTTGCTGGACTGTTTTGCAGAGTGGCTGCATTATTTTCAGGGCACAGGATAGTTCCAGTTTGCCCACATTCTTGCCAACACTTGTTATTATCTGTCTTTTTGAGCACAGTTATTCTCTGATTAGGAAGTGGTATCACAGTGTGGATTTTGCTTGCTTTTCCCTGATTTACATTGAGCATCTTTTCCTGTGCTTATTGGCCATTTGTGTGTTCTCTTTGGAGAAATGTCTGTTCAGATCCTTCGCCCATTTTTCAATGGGATTATCTTTTCCTTATTGAGTTGTAAAAGTTTTTTATATATTCTGAGAACAAGTTCCTTATCAGATAGATGATTTTTCAGGTATTTTCTCCTATTCTCTGAGTTGTCCTTTCACTATCTTGATAGCGTCCTTTGAAGCGCAAAAGTTTTTAATTTTGGTGAAGTTGTTTATCCGTTTTTTTTGTTTGTTTGTTTTTGGTCACTTGTGATTTTGGTGTCTTATCTAAGAAACCATTGCCAAATCCAGGGTCACAATTTTTTTCCCCCCACATTTGTAGATTCAATCAAAAGGTTGCAAATATTTATCCATATATTTTCTCCTAAAAGTTGTATGGTTTTAGCTCTTATATTTAAGGCCTTTGATCCATTTTGAGGTAATTTTTGCATATGGTGTGAGATGGGGTCCAACTTCTTTCTTTTGCATGTGGATATTCCACTGTCCCAGTACCATTTGTTAAAGACTGTTCATTCCCCATGGAAGTGTTTTGATACCTTTGTTGAAATGCAGTTGACTGTGAATGTGTGCCTGTATTTCTGGATTCTCAGTTCTAGTTCTTTGATCTTCGTGCTGTCCTTATGGCAGTACCACACTGTTTTTGCCGTGGCTTTGTGGTGAATTTTGAAATCGGGAAGTATTGTTTCAAGATTGTTTGGGCTGTTTTGGGTACCTTGAGCTTCCATTTGCTTTTTGGAATCGGCTCGTGGGTTTCTACAAAGAAGCCAACTAGGGTTCTGATAGAGATGGTGTTGAATGTGTCAATCAGTGGGGGGCGTTGCCGTCTTAATGTTGTCTTCCCAGCCATGAACGTGGGATGCCTTTTCATTCCCTTAGATCCTCCTTCTAACACTGCTTTGTTCACTCAGAGTACTCTACACATTTCACGCTTCTCTTGATGCTATTGTAAATGGCATTGTTCTTTTTGTATTTGTTGCTTTTATATAGAAATAAAATTGCTTGAACCAGGGAGGCAGAGGTTGTAGTGGAGCCCCAAAGATGATCCACTGTACTCCCAGCCTGGCAAACAGAGCAAGACCACCATCTCAAAAAAGAAAAAAAAAGGCTAGCCAAGGTGGCTCACGCCCTGTAATACCCCAGCACTTTGGCGATGCCCGAGGCGGGCAGATCATGAGGTCAACAGATGGAAGATCATCCCGGCCAACAAGGTGAAACCCTGTCCTCTACTAAAGAATATAAAAGTTCAGCTGGTGCAGTGCGAGTGCCCTGTAATCACAGTTACTCGGGAGGCGAGGCAGGAGTATCAAAAAACTTTTTGGAAAAATCAGCAGGCAGAGGTTCAGTGAGCCGAAATCATGCCACTTGCACTCCAGCCTGGCGTACAAGCAAGACTCGTCTCAAAAAAAAAAAAAAAAAAATGGATTGGTAAGGAAGAAGTTAACACAGCGTTCCTGTGATGTGCCTGGTGACATGATCTGAAAAACTGTTCAAACTAAAGTGATCTCAGCAAAGGATGCAAGTACATAAATTAATACATATAAATCCA